CCACCAAACTATCAGCCAGCTATCGATTAGATGATTTCTTGATGATATTTGGTTTATATTTTTGATTTTGACCAGTGATAGCATGTACGTTGTGAGAGGAAAAGTTAGTCCAAGATCATTTCAAAGTAGTACGGGCGATCTAACTAAATACGATTAAAATCTACCAAAACTATCAGAATAAAACTGCCAGAAATATCAGAAATGATAGAACCAACAGAACTAACAGATAAGGTCAAATCAGTAGAAGAATTAGCATAGTGAAAAAATGTATTTAGGCACAAAAATTTTGCTATAAATAAAAAGCAACTCCATTAGAGTTCATAACTACGAAAATATATAAGTAGTAGTTCTCTTAAGGTCACCACTTAATATATTGTTAATGTAAACTATAAATTGAATTTTCTTGTCTTTGTAAATTCGAAAAGCCTAGTTATCATTAGTGTATTAAAAGCAAAAGAGAAAGATCATATTAGTAATCAATCTCTACTTATATTGAATTGTTAAAATTGATCAAGTTTGTGATTAACCCTATTGTTAAAAAACCAATATATACGTAATCATCATTGAATCGTGATTCTGTAACAAGTAACACCAAAAATCAGAATCTAAAAATTCATTGAAACCCAGGTGCACTTGAAGAGTAAAGAAACTAATATAGTAGATACTAGTAGAGAGAATTAAAAAGTAATAAGAAGTGCCAATAATATCAGTAAATTCTAGCGTGAAAAGTAGTAAGCATACTTTGAAACCAGTTTAGTAACTACCACAGCATCGAATTATACTCTATTTTGAACCAAATCAAACTACGTCTCGCTTGAAATCTACTATCCAGGATGTAAATTAAAAGTATTAACATAATTAGTAGTTTTTGTGTTACTATTAGTGAAATACCTACCCTAGTTAGATTAGTTTTTGTTTTTTATACCATTTTTAACTGTCACAACATATGTATGTAAGTACATATATGATACAACACCAATGCATTAAGACAAAAAATATGACGAAGCAGTATTAAGTTTAAATTGTTCAGATTTTTAGCTATATCATTAAGATCTGTATTTATAAAATTTGTTTCCATATTGCTTTTTCTTTAGACTTCGATTTTGAATTTAATTTCTTATCTTTTTATTGATTTCTTTTATTAATATCATAGAATTATTATATTTGTATTGCATTATTACATAATTAATATCTTATCTATCTCTTGCATAATAATAATAAACTAATTAATTACCTCACCATTGTTAAGCCTAATCACAATTGTCCCATATTTATTAAATAATTAACCATCTTTAATCGTTAACTTAAACTCTTAAAAATCACATTGTATCATTTCTGTTACATCATCTGTATCATTGTTCTACTAAGTCATTATACAGATAAAAATTTTTGATGAAATCTTTATGCAATGATAGATTATTTAAAACTGTACTCTTGGTTTTAATTTAGGATCAGGTTCATTCGCTCATATGATACCAGTTAAATATTAAAGTTATATTCATTAATTTTATATTATTAGGCTCTGCTTCATAATCATAATTATAATACGAATTTTCCCAAACCTTTATAAATTAGACTTTTCTTTCATTAATTTTTATAATTACATTAAATTATTTTAATAACTTTAAATTATGACATAATAAAATTTTTTCATAATACATGAATCTCACATGCCTTTATAAATTTAACAAAAGGTTGACACTAACTTATATTTATTAAAAAAAAAATACTTCATCGAACTATATTTTACAAGTTATGATAAAAGATATAAAATAAATAACATTTATTTTTTACTTTTCTTTTTGTTTTCTTTTTTGGTTATTCTAACATTTCTTTTTCTTTTCTTAGGTTGACTTTCTTCTTCGTCTAATTCTGTATCTTTCTCATTATCAATGTAATCTGATTGCTTCTCTTTTTCATCTTGAGCATCTAAGTCAACATAATCTGATGATTGTTTTTGATTTTTCTTACAGAATAAATCAATTTGGATATAAGGATTTGTAACATCTATCAAATTTGTTGATAGACTTGGGATAGCAGCAGCACTATAGTTAACTAAGGGAATCGTAGATTCAACAACTTTTAGAATTTGAGTTAAAGTAGATTCAATATCATTAGCGATGACGTGAATAATTTTCATGCGCATTATAGATAATAGTTGCAGTTTTTAAATAGTCGATATCAGTTGCTTCAATCATCATCTTGCCAGATGTTGAAAATT